GAACAAGGCATGTGCTGGCTAACACGTGTCTGTCAAACTGCGATGACTGCGGGAAAGACACCAACGGACTCGACAACGGGAGTTATTGTACCCGTATTCAAGAAGCGAGACCACAAGGAATGCTTCAATAGTAGGGGTATATCGTTATTCAGCCTCCCAGGTAAAGTCTACGCAAAGGTGCTAGAAAGGAAGTGCGTAGAATAGCTGAGTGCAAAATGGAAGTGCAGCATTGTGGCTTCCAGCTCGGCAGAAGCACATCAGGCCAGATATTCATCGTACACGAGATTTTTTAGAAATCGTAAAACTTCGCTCATCAGGTGTATTTCTGCTTTATTGATTTAGATAAAGCTTTTGACCGGATTCGACGTAACAGCTTGTGGGCATTCCTGTAACATATGGAACCGATAGCCAGTTGCTACCGGTCATTGAATCAGTATATGGATAGCACGTGCTGCGTCAGAATACATGGCGTTAAGTCGAAGCCGTTTAACGTTGACACTGGTCCCCGCCAAAGCTGCTTTCAGTCCCCTTTCCTGTTTATGCTGTATGTGAGTAGAGTGGTCAGGGACAACCAAGGCAATGAGTGTATAGTTGTGGGAGATGTCGATACGCGAAGGTTGCTGTTTGTATATGACCTTGTTTTGTTCTCATCTGAAATTATTCTTCAGTGCTTTCTGGAGAGGTTCTTAGCCTAGTGTTACATGGCCGGCATGCTTGTATACGCATCTAAAACAAAAAGTCTTGTGTCTTGTGCTTTCTCGTTCTGTTGCCTACTGTATGAGGAAGAAATTGCGATTGGCGAATTGAAATAGTCAGAAAGCCGCGTAAACACTAGCCCGAACTGTTGTGACTAAAGCAGAGCTGTGTCCGAAGACTGAAGTCTGGATATTCAAGGCGATCGTTTATCCCTGTATTCATCTATGATCATGTGTCGTGGACGATGGCTGACAGCTTTTGTTCAGGGTACAGGCAGCTTGAATGTGCTTTGTGAAACGAGTAGCTGGCCTCACGGTTTGGGACTAATGGTCGAATGTGCAGATATCTGAGGTAGCCTTGGTGTACAGCTGCTGTTTTTCCAATTTGAGGAGTTAATGGTACGATGATCTGAACACTTGTTAGGATTGCTTTTCGAAAGGAAGACGAGTCATCTAGTCCTTGCCTTAACGATCGGTTGCAGACTGCGAGACCGCCAAAAATAACCTAGGGTTGGTTTGTAGGAGGACTCTGCTCCAGAACTGAGGTTATTTTCTGGCAAAGCTCAAAGCTTGCACGGGATCGGGAGTATTGGAGACATTGTCTGACGAGTCTGCCTCCGTCAGTCGAAACTGAATGATGAAATAAAATGTGGTTTAGGGCCATAATTCTGGCATAGCAAGTTAAAATGTTGCGTTACACGTCTCGGGAGGGTTCGTGCACTGCGTATGATTTTCTTATCAAAGCTGCTAATTTGATTTAACAAGAAATTCACCTCACTGTGCTTTGTTGCATTCTGAGGTGAAACAGATAGCACTTCATTGACTTGTGAAGAAATAGGAACGGTTTTCTGATTTGGTTGAACCACAGCGTGCAAGGCATACGACTGTGCTGTCGGATGCGTCTACTTTATAACTCTTAGGAGCCTTGACTTGTCTAATGGCTGAACATTGATCAATGCAAAGCGTGGAAAAAAATCTTCTATGAAAATATTTCACGAATAGTTTGAATAAATTCAATTCTTCGCTTGCATGACGAAGGTGATTGAATTTTTTTTCTTACGAGTTAAATTTCACGAACACTGTGTACGAAAAGTAATGACTTTATTTGTCTATTTGACAGTCAATAACATTTATAATTGAAAATAACAATTTTAGACAAAGATTTTCAATTTTGTTATATATTGTATTGGCATCACTTTATCAGCTCGTCTGCACATCTCTGAAGGCAGAAGTGCATAATTTTTTCTTGCTGTTCAACATGTTTTTGCGAACAGAAAGCATGTGATCGTTTTTTCTTGAACGGTTGGGCGGGAGATTACACAGAATGTTTCTTTACTGTAGCTCCTTTTGGCCTAATTTGTCTCGGACATGGACAATACGTCTTGTCAGTGCCGGCATCTCCTTCTTCTCCCATTAACCCTCGTAAACCTATGCTGCCGGGCAAACCTGGAGGTCCTGGCAATCCAACGGGTCCAGGATCTCCTGGTAAACCTGTTCTTCCCGGCTTACCAGTTTCTCCTGGATCTCCTGGAGGCCCAGGCGAACCCCGAGGACCATCTTGTCCATCAGCGGTTACTATTTCGATGTCGTCCATTCCAGGTGGTCCCATAGGACCACGTTTTCCGATCGGTCCTTTCAGCCCAGCA